ATAAAAAGAAAATAATTTGTTCTTCATAGAATTATAGTTAAAATCTTATTCTATGTTAATTCAATTTTTTTATTTTTATTTTTCCATACAAAAAATATTTATATATATGTGTGTGTAATGTTATAAAAAGTCATACAAAATGTATATATTATATTATTTCATTTATTAAATAAAAAGAAAATAATTTGTTCCTCATAGAATTGTCTAAAATTTTATTCTACATTAATTAATCAGGTTTAGGAATAGGTATACATGAAATTTGTAATCAATAAAATCAATCTTGTTAAAATTTAATAAAAAAACGGCGGGAATTTATAATTGCGAACCTAATACATAATATACATATGATTTTGTTCTCTAAACCCCTGTGCCAACCTACAAGTAATTATATACGTTATTAACGTTTCCCTGTAAAAAACAACAAAAAATCAAAGTAATTTCTTTTTAATATAAAACTTAAAAATAAAATATATATATATATATATGAAAAAAAACCTTATTTGTTAAGACTTTCATAAGAAAAGTATAGCAAATTTGTTCTATATTCTTTTTTAAAGATATACATATCACATTTTAAAATCATTTCTTATACAAACGAACGTGGGGTCAACGTGAAAAAATCCCTAAGAAGATTACACAATATTTTATAAAAACTAAAGAGAAAAAGAGAGAGAAAGAGAAAGATAAGGATAGAAAAATCCTCGCGATTGGCAAAGAGTTTAGAAGAAGAACAAAGGTTACTCTATCCGTTCCGTCGTTCGGTTAGCACGCGCCCAGTTGAATCGACAAAGAAATAAAGAAGTCAAGAATAAGAATAAGAAGAATAAGAAGAATAAGAAGAAGAAGAAAGATCTTCCTCGTTGCAAGGTGTCTCGTAGTCGTCCCCCGTTTGCGTTCTCAATCGCTTTCCTACTTCGGAAATGGACATACGGTCCCAGCCGACGTGGCTTTTATCGGAGGAATCGGTCCTCCACCTTCTCCACCTCCTACTTTTTCTCCCTCTATAACTTTGGTATCGTTCTCCCCTCTCACCAATACTTTCTGCAATGGTCATACATAGATATATATCCGATATACATGTGTACACGCGTGTGTGTGTGTGTATACAATCTACCTATGTCTTTTAGTGCTTTTACCTGAGATATCATCCGAGTGTTTGTGAAACCAGCCGATCTAGAATTACGAAGAACGTTCTTAGCAACTACGTTGGTTGGTGCTCCTTAAATTACCACTCGAATTACTTGACCTACATGTATCGGTCGTGCTAGCTACTAACCACCCTTCTTCTCTCCCCCTCCCCGTTTCTTTCTTTCTTTCTTTCTTTATTTATTTCTTTCTGTATTTCTTTCTTTCTTTATTTATTTCTTTCTTTCTTTCTTTCTTCATCTTGATCTCGATCCTGATTTCAACGTATAACACTATGCCAAACGTCCTCGCCAACCAACCAAAGATATTATTACCAAATGTTGCAATGATATCGATTATTACTTTACACATCGTCATCATTTGATCCCTCCTAATCATCCTCTTACGATAAACGTCTCACCATGTATCTTGTTCTTTACTGTATGCAACTTTAATTAGGTTACCGAGTTGTCGTAACCTTCGTTTTAATGTTCAATCATACACACATTTTCATTAAGTTATTATACTTATTTAACTTTATTTACGTTACTTTTTTACAATAATCGATCATAGTTTTATTCTCGTTTGGTATGGGATTTCTCTCTATATAAATTTAATATTAAATAATTTAATATTTAGATAAACGAGAAATGGATATAATGAATTTTACAAAGTATATATAATATATTTATTTTAATTGAAAATTTGTGTGTCACCATTGCAGATTGTATTCATGATAAATTCTTAAACGAAGGAAATATAAATGATAAAGAAGCTTGACACATTCAAACCTCGTGACCTTTTTTCTAATTCGACATATTTACGTTTTTCATCTCTCGCTTATTATACTATATATCATTTTATTTAGGATATATATCTACACCTGTTACACCCGAGATCTAGGTCGTGAATTTGTATCTGATTCAAATGGAAATAAATGGAAAAAAGTGTTGGTTCTAATATTAACAGAAACTAGCGCACTTTTCCAAATTAATGCGATATTATCAAGATCCTAGTAAGTAGTAAAATCGGACTGGGTCGATCGTACTGGACTAAACGAGGTTAGACAAAATTAAAAATCATCCCCTCGTTTTTAGTGGAAAAAGTAAGGAAGACCTAGAACTTATATAGTAGATTTTAATGTCTTAACTATTAACAAAATGGACTTGCCCTTTTTACGTATTCTTTCTCTGACAACCCAATTCTCTCTCTCTCTCTCTCTCTCTCTCTCTCTCTCTCTCTCTCTCTCTATCTATCTATCTCTCTCTCTCTTTCTCGAATTTAATTTTCAACAAATCCATCTAACACTACGAAGTAGGTCGTTTTCCAACAAATTTAGAACGTTCTTTACAAGATAACGTTTTTCAAACTTTTTGACAGCGACCTAGATCAAGAATAAGATTTTGTATTATGATCCAGTATGCGCATAAGTTACCTCTTATAAATATTTGCCTATTCGCAAAATATTACCTTGATAAATGTCTACATTTTTCATCATGAATCAACGTCAGGTTACTAAATAACAATAAAAAAAGAAAAAAAAAAGAATCTAATAATCTGAAATAAAAATAAAATTTGCGTAGGTTTGAAAAAAACAAAAAACAAAGTATGGTTCAAAAAATGAACGAGAGAAAAGAAACGAAAAAGAAAATAATATATGCGTATAAACTTTGCATATCTTTTTATTACAACGGATCCAAAAGCAAAAACCGATTGAACTCGTACAAATCATTCTAAATCGTAAGAAAAAATAATGCTTGAAAGTATGATAGAAGAAAGAAGAAAAAAAAAGGGGAAACGGAAAAGCGGCAAATCAAAGTATTGTCGAAGTTTCTTGAAATTCTTTGTCAAGATCAAATCACGTATTTCCTTCCGAGACGAATCGTACGAATACGGAATACATAGGACGAATATCCCACGCACGATCGCGTACAAGAGAGTCCTACGAAATCACCGAAGTACAAATGCAATCACTTTGTGTGCGTATACACACGCGGCAAACACACAAAGAAAATACGTATGACGAATAGAATATCGAGAGCGGGGACAACCGATGCCGATTGGTATAAAGTCAGCTTGCTCGGTCCTTCTTAGCAAGCAGTCTTCGGGGCAGCAACCAGCAAACGTCCAGACTCCAATTACCATGGATTTCAAAGTAATCCACCGTTACTAATTAATCCATTTCTTTTTTTTTTCCATTTCGTAATTTGAAATCATTCTGACGAATGCGAGAGCAACCCCTTGCACGAATTTGTGCGCTCGTCCAATAAAACAAAAAAAAAAAGAAAACAAAAAATATAATAAGATTATATTTATATCAGATAAAAACATAATATAATCTTACAATAATATATATCATACGCGACATATTTAATCTATATCTGATTTTTTTGTGTATTCGCAGACTCTTGGTTTTTTTACGACTCTCCTGGCAGCCTGTCACGGAGGCATTCTGCCGGGAGCAGCCACAGTTGGAATTGCCGCGGCACCAACCGCGGTTATTAGAACAGAAAATTACGATCCCAATCCTCAATACAGTTTTAGCTATAGCGTCGCCGACGGACTTACCGGTAAATATTTTCATTTTTCTATTTTATTACAATTCTATTTTAATTTATTGTTATCTTATAACTTTTGTCTCGGATCGCAGGTGACAACAAGGCTCAAGAAGAAACACGCAGCGGTGATGTAGTTCAAGGTAGTTACAGTCTTATCGAACCAGATGGTTCTCGACGAATTGTTTCGTATGCCGCTGATCCGATCAACGGATTTAATGCCGTCGTACAAAAGGATCCTAGCGTAACCGTAACGAAAACGGCCGTACCAGTTGCTGCACCAGTTGGACAGGTCGCTGCTGTAGCCGCTGCTCGACCTGCCTTGGCAGTTGCAGCAGGACCTCAACTTCTTGCTCGTTCTGGTCAAGTTCTTACAGCTGCTACAGCACCAGCAGCAGTAGGTCTACGTCCTCAGGTAATCTATACTTAATTAAAAATTATTGTTTATCTAACTTTTTAACTCGCGACAATTAATCTGATTAACTAATTTATCAAATATCAAATCTAAACGATTATAAGATTAGATAAGATTATAAGATTAGTTGTTTCTCTCGTCCAAAAATAAAATTATTAATAAATAGGTATCGTAGGAATTTGGACATTGAAAAGAACTAGAACTTCGTTTTGATTAATTGGACTCAAACAGTTTGAGTGTTCAAATATAACGTATCAAAAGATAACGAAGTTTAGATGTGTAGTTTTTTGAATATTATAAGAATGTATGTCTGCTTAAATAAAAAAGACGCTAAACTTTAGAGATTAATAAGAAGGTATCATAGAGAATTTGGACATCAAAAAAAGAAGTAGAACTTAATTTTGATAAGTTGGACGTTTCGTCACTTTATTGGGACTTATTCAACAACTTAATCTCTAAAGTTCAGCGTTTTTTTTCTTTAAGTAGACATACATTTTTCTTTTTATTTATAATATTCAAAACACAAAAGATCTACACTTTATTAAATCTTAATCCGTTAAGTTGCTGAAGAAGTCCCAATAAAGGGACGAAACATCTAATTAATCAAAACGAGAAATTCTAATTCTTTTGAGTCTCCAAATTCCCTACGATACCTATTTATTAATAGATTATAAGGTTTCTCTATTGATAAGCAAAATTTTTGAAAAACAATTCTCTATTAAAGTAATAATAACAATAATGATTATTGATTCGTAGCTTGCTATTGGTGGATCCTTAATTCGACCCTCTCTGGTTGCTGGCTCTGCCTTGACAGGGTCTAACTTATTGGCTACGAATCTTGGACTTGGACTTGGACTCAGGGCAGGATCTCTGTATGGTACGCAAGCTCTTCTAGCGGGTGCATATGGCGCCGGTGGTGTCGTGAAGGTTCATTAGATCCTCTGATATATCTCTTCGTTCGACTCGGCTTTGCTCGACGACACGACCACGTCTCTCTCCCAGCCCGTACTCTTTCTTATTATAATAATACCGTTTGTTCTTCTGTGTTTCTATTCGCGTCGCGATCCTACTCAAATTAGTTTCTCTCTATCTTTCTCTATCTCTCTCTATCTCTTTCTATCTCTTTCTCACTCTCACTCTCTCTCTCCCTTCCTTCCTCTTTTCTTTCCAACCCTAACACGCACTAATTTCCTTTAACAATCGTGTTTTACATAATTACATATATTACCATTGGTGTTTCTCTTTAAACAACGAGATTATATCTCCCAGTATAATCAATATTTATAGATATATATTGTTAACGCGTTTCCTTCGCGTGAATTGTGACCACCAACAATATATTTTGTCCACCAATCATGAAAATTAATCCAATCACCGTACAATCCCCACCCATCCCCGTCGAATTCATCGAACTTTTACTTCGACTTAACATCAACCTGTCCATCCGTCTAAAATAATCCTGATTAATCTTCGAAGGATTAGAACTCAAGATCCATTCAAACTGCTCCTAAGATCGAAAGGATTATCATCGGAATGTTTATCGTTGTTTGTTATGTTTTTTCTTTCTTTTTAAACATAATTGCTTGAGGAGAGTATAAAATAAAATATAATAATCCTGGCCGAATAATCGGAAGTATCGTTTCGTTGCACTTTTACGGCGAAGGGAAAGATCGCGGGATTTTCAAAATTAACGAAACTTTAGTGTCGCGTTTAGGGAGGAAGAGGAGGAGGAGAAGGAGGAGGAGGAGGAGGAGAAGGACCAATTGGATCCATCGCACTTATTTACTATAAATACACGTTCATTAAATATATATATATATACGTACGTACATATTATTCTACACTTAACAACATATATATGTATATATACCAACGTATATCAGGCTTTATGAATCTTTGAATATTTAACACATTCTGTGACACGTAATGCTTGCGTCCCAACGTGCAGCTTTTCTTTCGCGTTTATCAGGGATTTCGCGTCTCCGAAAGTTTATCAGGGAGATCGAGAGTTCCATGTCGAATCAGCCGAATTTAATTTCTTTTTCGCATTATTCCGTCATCGGTCGTTCCACCAACCACTACTATTTTACTACTAAACTACTACTACTATTACCACCACCAATACCACCACCACCACTACCACCACTACCACTACATTTACCGTTTTAGCACACATCCCTATTCTGTTTCTCGTTTTGACTAATTAATAATTGTTTGTTTTTGTTTTTTTTTTTTTGTTCATTATTGCATTACCTATTTTCCGTGTGTATTTTCGTTTTCGTGCGTTTTCGTTCCTTGCTTCTATATATCTCTCAATACACGATTTATCCCCGTAAAATGTTATGAGAATGTCGTGATAAATAGTTTATGTGTTCTTGACTCGGATCTTTAATAATCCATGTTAAAATCGTGTTTAATTTGTTGTATCTAATTTCTATATAGTCGATCCACGACAGTACTGTATCCTACCCCGCCCCCCCCCCTCAACCAAGCCTTTCAAACACCTCTACCAATACGACTTAACATATGTGTAATAATCCTCATTCTTGTAAGCATAAGTAAGCCGTTGTTTCATGTACCACTGCACATACGGCACGGATTATATTTACCAGTTGTGTGAACCTTGAAATAAAGAAATAAGTTTTCACGCTATCTATAAAATTTGAAATAATTATGTGATCCCAATCTCCTCTTTTACCCTTAGCTACTATAATCGACGGAAAAAAAATAACAATAAAAAAGAAAATTAAAAAAACTCGACCTCGCAGTTCGTTCGTTTTTTCTTTTTCTTATTTTTTTGTTTTGTTTTTTTTTTTGTTTTTTTTTTGTTTTTTTTCGTTCGCCAACATTACGGACAGTTCTGTCCGAAGCAAAGGTCGACAACATTTGCCGTCTTTTTCGATTTTATAAATAAAAAATGTTCCCTCGGAGAAAAAACGTCGCCGAACTCGAGCTCGATATTTTTCCGTTAATCTATTTAACAATTCTATTAAATATTACTGGATTTTCCCCTCTTTTTCCTATCGTTGAAACGTTAAAAGTTCCTAAATGTTTTTCTATCTGCTGCGAAAAATAATAATAAATGAGATAAATCAAAGCAACGATTCATCGGGTATTAACTTTTCGTTTGGGTTCCCGTTTATAAAATAATTACAATTAATTGAATAGAAATAGCATACGAACTTAAATATTAATTTCGTTGAAAAAAAAAAAATATAAAAAGAAAAAAAGAAAAACGATAAAAGAATCGCTACCAAATGTCATGCCAATATAAATTTCGTGTCCGTTATTGTCAAAAACATAATTGAACGATATTATCAATGCATCGTGCACATATTATATTATATATCGGAATACACATATCTCTAACAAAACTAACTCTATAACAAATATTTACATAAAGATGAACTTTTGTCGAGGACGACTTCCTCAAACGCAAACGTTGCTTTACAAAACGAATAGAAGACACCCCGAAAAGAAAGCAATTTGCTGCTCCTTTTTCAGTCAGAGTTTATTCAAAAGGAAGAACTATATTTCTATCGTAGCGATTACCCTCATACCTTTTCATAAACGTGGCCAGTGTTCCATATTACGTATGTGTAATACACGCAGCTGCATTTGCAAGACAAGGGAAGAAGAATTTCTCTTTCTATCTCTCTCTTTCTCATTCTATAGAACAAAAAGAGAGAGAGAGAGAGAGTAGCTATAGGTACAATGACTCTGCTTCCCCTTGTTTAAACAGGCCCCGCAATGAGGGAAATCCTACTCAACTCGGCTCGACGAACGGGAATATATCCGAGATTTTCGGCTGGCGCACGTGCGCCTAAGGGACAGAAATTACTGCTATTTTTTTGCCGCGTCGTAGGTTTCCTGTAAAACCCTTTCGTTTCTCTCTGCTCGACTGCCTGTGGCACTTTACAAGAGTATCACAAGAGTATCACAAGATGGCGACGAGGGGGGCTTCATTTTCTTCCTTCTCTTTCTCTTTTATGGTTTTCGTTTACAACAGAATAAATAACGCACTTTTTCAAAGATATATCAATCTGATGGATTCCTCTAACGATCCCGTTAATACTGTAATACCGTCATGAGTACTATTATTAATGCTTACGTAAGTACATACGCGATAAACATAAGCTAGACGTATTAGATATTCAACTTCCACCCCATTCCGTTGCAAGGGCAAAAGAAAAACGCTCTTCGTACTTTTTTTTTTATTTTCTTTTTCTCCCTTATATACTTTTTTCCTCTCTCTAAAAGTCGAGGGTCATGCTTTGAGAATCGCAAATGAGAAATAAGTTTGCATGAGAGAGATAGAGTATACAAACTTGTTGCTAATTGAAGTTCGCATTTGGTATATAAGATATTGCACATTTACTTAAAGACTTTTCTCAATTATCTATACGGAACAATTGTTTAAAAAACATTCAAGTTTTTTAAAGATTAAATGGACAATTTGAACAATTCATTACGAATAATCAATGGCGTTGTTGAAAGTATAAATATTAATATACGTGCAATCTATAAATTTAAATCCATTTCAATGAAAAATACAAATCTCGTTGAAAAACTATGCGAAGTAACTTTCTATTATAATTATTTGTTAAACTATAATAATTCATCGTGTGCGAAAAGATTTTAATTTCCGTTCTCAACTTTTTCTCTCCCTCTCTCTCTCTCTCTCTCTCTCTCTCTATTTTTCTTCTTTTTTCTTTATCTTTTTTGTCCGACAGATTACTCATTGCGACGAAGAAACAAGAAGACTATGCGTAAAGAGCTCAGTACTATGTTGCATTGTATACTCGAGAGTCAAGGAAGAATAATAAATAAAATAGCTGAAGGTAATTCTTATCTAGCAAGAAAATTGTGGGAACGATGCTCGTCGAAAGAACAATTTCGAAAAATGACGACCGATGGGCGAAAATATTTGAATTCGTCCTATCGACGACTGCCTTACTTCAAACAGATTTAAGTTGTTTGAGGAACATGATGCATCGCGACAAGGAATGATGGATGAGCTTTCCTCTTTAGCGCCCTCGTAATTTAGTAATATCTGAAAATAGAAATTGCTCGATTAAATCCATTTGAACCAAAATATTAAATTCATTAAAAAGTAGTATTTTTTCTTCCTCTTTTTGGAGAGATGCTAAATTGAGTCAAAAGAATAACAGTTTGACTCTATAGCAAACTAAATAGAATACAATATAATTCATATGCGTTTATTAAAGTAAAATAAATATAAATTGATTTATCTGACGAATTTCTTAATTCCATTTTTGTGGTTTGTAAATAAAGAGGCTTTTTCTACAAAAATCGATCTTTTGTCTCTAAATGTGACGTCAAATGTTGCTATCTCGATGCACCATCGGTAACAATTCAACTTACCTACAGAGGTATCTACATTATCGACTCTTCCGTATCTACATTATCGACTCTTCCGTAAATTTCGTACGTAGTTCATTCTACAACCGTCGAGTAACGATGTCGCTATGTTACACATATTGCAATGCGAGTTTCTCTCTTCCTCTCTCTTTCTCTCTGTCTTTATCCCTAATAAAAATATTTCTTTTCAAAGATTTCTCAAAGATATTTTGTAACAAACAAAAAAATTAAAATTCAAGCTTTGTCTCTTTATTTTAATGAATATACAATTAACATTACAAGAATAATACAAAATGTTAAATATACGTAATCTCTGCTTTTAAAACGCACCAATGAAAACGTATCTATGAAAATAAACGTTGTGCTATTGGTTAATCTTAAAAAACAAAAACAAAATGTTTACTTTCTAAAAAAATAGTTCTTTGTAATGCAGTAGTAAATATTTATCTAGTAATGCTCAGTTTCTAGTTCAATGCACTGAAAATAAATCGAAACAAGTTTTTCATGAATTGTGATTATCGACGACACAAGATGGCGTTTTTCACTTTAATCGAGTTCACGATCGATCATATTCGAGTTAATCGAGTTATTTCATTGGTTTGTTAAAGCATGACTTATGTAGCTTTGCTTCAAAATATACGTGTTTAGGAGAATATGTAGGAGTCATCGGAATGTGGATTATAAACTTAATTGTGTGTCTAACTATCGTTCTTCAAAAGTTGCAACCTATGTTTATAAATAATAGCATTATTCGATAATGAAAACAAAAAAATAGATAGCATCGCATGATTAGTAGTGAAAAAAGTGATATTCAACGAGATATGTTTTATGCCTTTTAATGTGAACAGGTTATGAACGTAGGTGGAACATATTGGCATGCAAAAAAAAAAAAGAAAATAAAGAGAAAGAAAGAAGAACCGGTGTGACGACTTTCGAAACGTCTGTTTATGTGGAAAAAAAAAAGAAGAAAGGAAAGAGGTGGAGATAAAAACAGTCAGGAAGAAAAAAGAAATAGTTAGGAGTTTATATGCGACGCACGCGTGTAGAATACATGTATGTGATTTTCCGCAAATTAGCCGCATACGTACACAGTAATAGATTAATCCAAACGATATTCATTTAAACGTAATGTTAAAAACGTAATAAAAAACGAATATGTAAAAATACGTTTAAAAAAACTTTACTTTAGTGGTGTGCAATCATCGTTGGTGGATGCTGTTTATGTGCATAGAGATATCTATATATATATATAAATAAATATATATATAAAAATATATATATATACATATAATATTTTTTCTTTTAACGTGATACGAAAAACTGAAAAATGTTAAATCAAGCGGTCGTCGAGGCCCTATATTCAGCAACTTATATCGAAAATTATTTGGATTGTGTTGAAAATCTACCAAACGATTTGCAGAGATATGTTTCGCGTCTTCGAGAATTAGATGCTACTTGTCAAAGTAAGTTTTAAATCAATGTTGATTCAAATTTCATGGTAAATCTTTTTTTTTTTTTTTTTTTTTAAAAAAAAAAAAAAAAAAAAAAAACATTTTATTACTCTATACATATACTATATGTACTAAATATTTACAGTCTATTTATAATTATTTCTTTTTTATAATCTAAATTAGCATATTTAAGAGAAGTAGACCAACAACAGGATACACTAAGAAATGATATAGACTCGACTGTGAGAAGAAAAGCACTTGCAAGGGTTCAACAAGCACTTATTGCTGCTCAAGAAATAGGAGATGAGAAATTACAAATTGTACAACAAGTTCAAGATTTAATAGACAGTAAATCTAGACAGCTTGATGTAGATTATCGTAATTTAGGTATATGTCATATACTTTTTGTATAACATTTTCTACAAGTATTCGACAATATTTAGTTAATAATAATGTTATATATTTTGTAGATTTTGGTAAAGAACAAGAGAACTGTGAATCCAATCGTGAATCAAATGCGAATATTAATTCCAACTCTTCGACCAATGCTAATAATGCTGAACGTTTACCAAAGCGAGCTAGAAGAACAAGAACAGAGACACTGGTCGAATCAGGACATGCCATGGATATGATCGTAGTATCTGAAACAAGATCCAATACTTTGACCAATGCAAGTAATGGTAATCAAAAGAAAACTACGACAACTAATACAGGTAAAAAGAAGAAAAGGAAATCTAGGCAAGGCAATCAACATAATCAACATAGGGAGGATACTCCACCACCATTGGAAGATGATCTTGCGATAGATCCAGATGAACCAACGTATTGTCTTTGCGACCAAATTTCCTATGGAGAAATGATACTTTGTGATAACGATTTATGTCCGATAGAGTGGTTCCACTTCTCTTGTGTGTCACTCAGTACTAAACCAAAAGGAAAATGGTTTTGCCCAAAGTGTCGAGGAGATCGTCCAAACGTCATGAAACCAAAAGCACAATTTTTGAAAGAACTTGAAAGGTACAATAAAGAAAAAGAAGAGAAATCGTAGCAGACAAAGTATGCTTCAAGGTTTTAAGAATCAAAAATAATTGGGTGCAAAACAATATTTAATGTAATTAGAATCCAATTTAATTTCTAGGAATGTTTATTTATAATTTTGAAACTTTAGGCTTATTAAATCTATTGAATTACATTTAATTTTGATATTGATAATTAAAATGATTATTATATACAGGATGAGTCACAACTAAGGTCGTCCAACTAAATAACTTTTACAATTTTAGTGACAGAAAAAAATATTTGAAATAAAATATTTCAAAGTTTTATCATATAACTAATTTTATAACAGTAACATCACTTTCATTGTAGTTGCGTAGTTATATAACTGATACGTAGATAATTGAAAATTTGATTTTTTTGCCTAATTGCATTCTCCTCGTGTATTCTCGCACCTTCCATATTTCCCTTTTAGATCGTATTCTTCATCTTGGCACTTTTTATTTTCTCTTCTTTCTCGCAATTTTTCAAATTTCTTTCTAATTCTTTTGAATAAATTAAATAAATTCTTTTTTATCTCTCTGAGAAAAGCTTTGGTGCCTTTATTTTTATTATAATGATATCCATATATATTCTTTAAATTTAGTTGCTAAATTTTCTACATCTCTTATTATTGTTTTCTCTAAATCATTTGTTGTATCTGCCTTAGATATCTAATAATCTTCACGATGATTCTAAAAAAGCTTCACTTAACGTTAACACCACTGACTTTTGAAATAATTTTATGAAGTAGATTGAAAGAAAATGTCTATCGTGATGTACAAACTATTAAAGAGAACACGAGACAATGAATACGAGAGGCTTATGTTGCAATCAATGAGTCAGAACATACTTATAAACGTGTAACACTGTCTGTGGATGAATGTTTTAAACAGTGTCTTGTATTGATAATCGCTATTCTGAACATCTATAGCATAACGTACTGCCATAAACTGTAAAAGTTGTTCAGGTGACTGGTCCTTAGTTAATTCACTCTGTATAATAATACTTTATAACTTGACTATACCATTGAAATTGGTTGAAATCCAAAGATCGAAATCTAAATCGCAGTCTCGATAAAAAACGTAGCATAGAGAAAATGTTCGTAATATAATTCTATGTAATATTTGCATAAGTAATATAACATTCTTAATATAGCAATTCTTAAATAATTATAAACGACGAGACGTAAAAATTCTTCATGAAGTTTTCAAGTTGTTTCTTAATAATATATTCATAGATATAGAAGATATATCGCATAAGAACAATCGTTTAAGCAAACTATCTCCATATTAATAGTATAAAATGGCAACTTATAATTTTAATAGCTTTAATGACATGGAAGGGATGTTCTCAATAGATTTTTTCGAGAATTGTAATATAATTCAGAGTTTTTATTATTTTAAATTTCTCATATATCTTTGTATTTATATTAATTTATGGAATATACGTTATATCTTCTTCTTGTATATGAATAAATAAAAATATGTAATGGTAATAATAACACTATGTATATTAAAACGTAAATGGAATGAGCTGTAGTCTCATTATTTTTATGTTAATTATTATACACATATATATATATATATATTTTTTGTTTTTAATTAATTAATATATAAGTCTATGTAAAATATAAGATCAAGTACAAGTAACATAATATATTCCAGAATTTATTGGAGAAAACAAAATTATGTTATATAAAAGTTGATTACATTGTTGTTAAATTTCATATGATAAATTATAGGAATTGGGTTTCTTATAATTCTATTTAAAATTTATACTATATTTATTGAATTTTATTAAGTTGGATTCAAATATTTTCCACAAGAAAAGAAAACAAAAGTCAAGTATATATAAAACCAAAATTAAATATGTGAAAAGATGTATCTGTTTTTCAATGACTTCAAGCATTATATATAATTGCAATTTTTAAACAAAATTCCATTGGAAATAAAATCTTCAATTTATATTTTAAAACAATAACATGCTTATCAACATGAAATTAAACTATTATTGCGCTTGAAGCCATTGAAATAAATAATAAGGTAAATGGAAACTTAACAAATTTCAATTTATAATTGTTATATCGAAAACACAAAACAGGAATATACGTACAAATGCCCTTGATCTATAACATAAATTCTATATTACCAAGTTATACGTTTCATTTTCTATAAAACAAATTATTTTATGTGTACAGAAAATCATTTTACATTTGCAATATAATTCTTATTAATGCCACGTTGTGATAATACAAAAAAGAGTATTTGTACATATGTTTTTTTTATTGTTTTGTTATTTATGTTAAAGCACCTAAAGTGTAGTTATTATGAACAAAAACCATACACATATTGTATTTATACTTATAAATATAGATCACATAAGTTTTTCAGTGCAGTTTCCATGTCATTCCAGGACTTTAAATCTGAAATAAAATTTAATATTTTATAGAAAGTAATCTCTATAACGTCTTGGAATACTTAGCGAAATTATTTATAAAAATATTGTAAAATAAATCTTCGTGAAGTGATGTACTATTGATGATTATAATAATTAACTGATAATATTGTGATTCATACTACCTATTCTTGTTTTTCTCTGAGAAATATGAATTAAAAGTATGAAAATGAATGATTCTTTACTACCGCTTTAACACTGAAATTTATCAAATATTTTATCATAACACCGTAAATGTTTTGTATCTTTAAATCTTCTTAATAGTATCTACTTATCAAGGTGTCAATACCTGGTATGAGCTCTTTCTCTCTCTTATATCTGCATATATACATATTTATATATTTGTAATATATAAGAATTAAATCTGTTCTTTCTCCCAAGACCATTTCACCTCACCCCCCTGTGTGCTTCTACAATGCTCAGATTCTAACATTGACCGTAACATAAACATTTCTTTTAATGACAAGTACGATTGAAAAATACAGAAAAGGCATACTTAATGTCAGCGAGGATCTTCCGTATGACTTTCTTGAAAATTTAACCAAGATTGTTCAACAACTGTAGCTACTCTCTTTTCGTATTCTCGTTTATTCTCTTGGTACAATTGTGCTGCTAAAGAATTAGCCGGTGAATTTGGATTTGGTTCATCCAGTAATGACTGTAACAAATAAATGAAAAATAGTAATCTCGTTGAATATTGCAAAACGTTACAAATGAAAATAATGAACAACTGTACAAATACATACTATGGGATTATTAAAGATTCAATGTTCAAAAGCTGAAATAAAAAGAACAGGACAAAACATAAAAAGAAACAAAAGGTTCCAAAAAAAGTTATAAGACTATAAAAGTGAAATTATGCATTTATTATTAAGTGTGTATGCTGTATGTATGTGTATGTGTGTGTGCGCACGTCCGCGCCTGTATCCGATCGCGCGTATATATATATATATATATGTATATCTGCATATATATATATATATATATATACATATATGTGAATTTACGCGTATTGTACAAAGTACTAAAATCTAATTTAAAAAATAAAACTCTAAATCTGCGCTTTTTAAAGGTATTAATTTTTTGCACAGAAACAAAAAGTCGAATACATATACGAATATATATATATATGTATATAATAATATATATGTATAGAGATATATATATATATTATTATATCTTATTTAATATTACTGATTTTTCATGTTATTTATCAGATATCGAAATAAATAAATTACACAATTTTATAATAATTTATTATTCAACATTGTAAAAATTCGATCTAATGTTGCACATTGTTGTAATTCAATAGAGCTTTTGGAAGAAACATGCTAAGATTCAGCGCAAGCTCCTTGGTAAGGCTGCACACATTCTCCTCCATATCTAATGGCTGTAGGTTGTTGAACAATGCTGCGACAGCATCATGAAAACGTCTGTGACTAATCCACAAAACTCTGCTCCACACAAGCCTTCACTCGTTTCTCGTACTCGCGTCGATTCTCTTTGTACAGTTGTGCTGCCATTGAGTTGGCAGGTGAATTCGGGTTCGGGTCACTTAACAGCGACTGCAACCACATAAGTCGTATTCCTTACAAGACAATTCAAACGTTTCTTTTATAATGCATTGCTTATTATTTTATTAACAAAATTGCTAATGTAGCTTAGCACCAGTGAAATACTATTTGTTTACGAAGAATGGGAAATCTTATACATAGTGTAAGAATGTAATAATTTTTAGTGCATGTCATTCGTTTTATCAAATGAACTAGACTTTGTTGAATTGCAACCGCTGTTAAGAGAAAAACGAACAATCCGCCATTTTAAGAAATAATTGCTTGGAAAATCAGAAAAAATGAAAAAGAAAAAAAAAGAAGTCTGACAGTCCATATATACAATTTTGATTTCAAATCAAAACATTGATATGATTTATGAAAAGTATCCGATAACGAAAAGGAATAATTAATTATTTTGTATTATTCACTTAATAATCCTAGGATACTTCTACCCTAATGATTTTGTATGTGATGTCACGCAGAGTATCTTTTGAAGCTGTTCTATCTCAGATATTTGAAATAAGTAAGAGGAGTTATAATATATAGTGCAGTCCATCTAGTGTAATCAAATCTAAACCTGCATTTATGTATATTATATAATTTTACAAGAATTATTTTGTTGATTTGAATAGGTACTTTTTTATGTGCATATGTAACCACTTTTACTGTCATGCAGATGCATTCAGTTTTGTTAATCATCTAATAAATTAAATTTTGTTCATATAATTAATTTTTTTTTAATATGAATCAAACTATGTAGTAGTATAGTATGGAAAATATATTTCTGTATAAACTTGAAAATATGATCAAATAATTTTGAAAGATGTCTATTAATAAATTTTTATCTACCTGTATAGATGTTAAAATAGCAGAAACATCATATGTAGGACTCCAACGATTTTGTAGAATATCAAGGCAAATACCCCCATCGGCATATACATTAGGATGAAACATTTTGCTGACAAATCTTACTGTAGGTGGCTTGTTTGGATATTCTTCTGTGAACTCTATTGTGAGTTTAAATGTACCATCCTCGAATGGAGTATCATGTGGCCTAAAACAAATCCAAATTGTAATACCGATCATTAATAATTATATTAAGATTAAATGAATAATACAAAAAGGAGGATATTTAAAAATTAAAAAATTATACAATTTTTCTTTATAATACTTTAACAAAGCTAATCTAAATTAATAATCGCATGTTGTGAGAGTGAATTAAATGCAATATTCTTACCCAAATATAACAGCATTCCATATCATAATATTATTGTCCGTAGGTGCACCAGATACTCCAGTAGGTGGATCTTCTTGTAATCTGTTTAAACAAAATATATTTTATTAACATCATTTACTTGCTTTTATCTTACATATTTAAGAGAGTATTTTCTATTAGATCTTAATATTATATCATTACTGGAATAATTACTCTTTCGCAATGAATGCCACTTCTACTTGCGTGCTAGATCAATAAAATCAATAAACATAATTTTAGCAAACTTACATAATAACAAATGTACATGTACGTTACAAAATTACAACTTGAAAGGTATTAGATATATTGATGAAAAATTGTGCCAAAATTTAAAAGCTACCATTTAAAGCCTCTTCATCCTTAGTTATTTTTAGCCATTAAAAATGATTGCTCAAAAATATGTTACAAATTTAATTATTAAATTATCCCAATATGTTAAAAAGGTATAAAAGATCTTGACATATTCTATTTGAATAAAACAAATCAGAGATTGAAACTAAATAAATTATCTTTAACTTATATACAAAGATAAATTTTTCAAGAAAAATCTTTTGAGTATAAGAAAAAGCAATAAAAAGTAAGACAAAGAAAATTGTATAAAAACATTATGGAAAAACAAACAGGCTTATTCATAAAAGTTTCGCTTGGCAAAAGATGAGCATTAAACAAGGTGCACTTCACAAGCACAAGTTCCTAATAATAACTTGGTCTTCACAATGACGTTAGCACGTTGCGTATGCTCGGATTACTCGAATTCATCCTCTCCCGCGAGAACAGAACATACATAGATAAATACACACGTATACAGGTTATTCCGTTAGAAGATTCGTTAGTTTTCGATAATCCAATAACTAAAGATAAATGTTCTAAGGATAAAAAAGGCAAAGTAGTTAAAGAAAAATATAATAAAAATAATGATGTATATAAAAGTACCTCTTGAAATCTCTCATTAGCCTTCTTCTTGCAGGGGTAGACATCCCTCACGAACGGGTTGGTCGCTCCAAAATCGTCGAAACGAATTAATTCTTGACACCTCTCTCGTTTTATGCAAATTTATCTTAGAACGGGAATGAGATTTAAAAAAAAAAAAAAACGTAGGGATTCGGAGAAAGAAATTGAACACGCCACCCGATTCGATTCTACGACTTCAACTTCGTCTATCTTCCCCTCTTCTCTTCGTCTTCTTTCTTTTTACAATCTCGTCGCTCGCAACAAAAATCGACTGTTGTTCTTCTCCTGTACTGCGTACGGCGTCTCTGTCTCTCTCTTACACTCCAAGCCTTTTGTCACACCGAAGGCCACCCTTCCTTCGGTATAATACCGTTATAGGTCGTTCAAAATCAGTTCTTTTTTTAAAGACTTTGGAATGAACACTTGGATTCGGCTTATCGTTATATTATGTGCACATAGGCGAAGCGTTAATTTTTCATCGTTCGCGAGCGAGCAATGAAGCCGCGCCAGCGCTAATACCCCCTCTGCTACGACAAGAACTGCGACTGTCCCGAACAATTCATTCGTCAGACTATCAAAAACGACGAACAGCTGGACTATACTGAACCGAACTAGGTAGAATAAGAAATGAGTAAGAACTGAAACTCTCTCTTTCTCTCTTTTTCCTTCTACTACCAATACACTATTAACTCGCTTTCTCCCTTTGTGTGACAATCCGTCTACCTGCGTTATCAATCCTTCAACTTGATTTTCCCTAGCCAATCGGTTTTCTAGTAATCTTCTCTACGTTTCAATTACGATCTTCTTTTTCATTGGCAATCTTTGGACAAATACTATTAGCGAAACATAATCGAAGGGACCAATGACGAATACGCATAAGAATTTAAATATCTTCGAAATCTTCTAATATATTCTTATTTTGTTTATATTATAATATAATATGTATTAGAATTATATTCGAATCTTCCTCTTTTTATCTTTATGTGATTAATTCTTAAATTATGCACAATTTATAATATCATAGAGTGTATCATTTGGCATTGTAAATTTACAATACAATAGTTTTACTCGTAATACAAAATCGTTATTTATATTCGATATTTATTTTCAACTTTCATTCATTTTAATAGTAAACGAATGTATAAATGTTATATCGTTAATATTAACATTTTATTACCTTCTATTTTACAAAAATTATGTTAAAATATCAAATTTATAACATATTGTTCGTCTTTTATCTAAAATAGAAGTATAAACGTGTATAAACTTGTAGGTTTTCTCATAATAATCGACTTATAATTAGTATGGATTAGAGTATTTATATTAATATATATAAAATTGGTGCTTTTCAGCATCTCCTATTATATCCTTTGACGGTAGCATGCATCTTGCAGCGATTCACGTTTGATAAGATGTAGCGTCGGTATACATTTGTTTTATAACAAATGTAATTTTGTTACGTAATTTTACTATAAGATTATAACGTAAAAGGATAATAATTATAAAAATATAACTTAAAATAAAAACATTATTTTCAATAAATCAATAGGAATATAACAAATAATCAAATACCACTGTTGCACTGAATTGTAAGTAACACTTTCTCACAGAAAAAGTGTTTGTTAAAACAAATATACAAAAATTGAACGATTTGATTAAATTATCGATACAAATCAAAATCCGTATTTTGTGATTATGCTGTAATATAAATATTTTTCTATATTCCTATGTATAATGTGATGTAAGTCGTTCTATGAGTTCTGATTTACGTCCAGTTGTGGATAATTTAGCATGACTCAACAATTTTCGTAGATCTGATACGTTACATCTATCCAACTAAAACAAGCAAACTTACAATTAGAGTATTTAGTTTTATTATATTGTAATGTAGATAATAATTAAAAATACCTCATTATTGTTTATAAGTTCCAGAACATCTTCGTCTTGAATATTTAGAAATGATATATTAGTAGAATTTTTAGGGTTTCTACGTTTTTTCTTTGGCGGTTCATATTCCTCTTCTTCTTTTATAAATAATTCATTAATTTGTTTCGTTAAATCTCCTATCCTTTCCTGAAGCAAATCTTCTGCAGGAACTGAAAATGATGTTTCAAAAATTTGTTCTTTTATTTATTGTTAATTACTATTATAATGCTTACGTGTGAGGTCCTCTGGGGGATCTCGTACATCCAGATCCAAAGCTAATGTTTCTATGCTTTGTAATTTAACTTGTAAGGCAGGATTTGGATACTTTTCTGGATCATAAATTTGAGTAGATTTTTTAATAATTTTTTCGAACAATTCAACCGCTTCATGATTAATTGGAACTTTTTTATCCTTATCGTCATACGCATATGTATACATTTCTTCGGTAAAATCATTTACTTCTTCTAAACAAGCAAAGTAAACAATTATTTAATTCTTATAATAAGTTATGCTTGTGTGTGTAGATTTAAAACGAACCATTGTATGGCATTTTGTATAAATAAAATCCTCCTTCATTGGGCATTGGTATCATATAGTATAAATAGGATCCAGAATTCTCTCTCATAGTTACTCTACATGTTATTTTAAGCTTTCTTTGGTCACATTTATTTAATAAAGCGGCAAATAATAATTTTTCACCTAATAAGTAAGATTAGAAAAAAATAATATTATTATTACTATTCGTTTTTCTTTAAATAAAGTATTATTAATAGTATTACCTTCGCTACAATTTTTATTACAGGAAATAAAATAAGGTGCATGGATGTGATACATCGGATCACAAAACAAAGGTTCTACGCCAAGTAAATCTATTCCCATTTTATAAATATTTTCAAAACTTTTAACCTCATCTAATGTAAAATATAATTCTCTTCCGCCTAATTTTTTCATTTTTCTCACATCTGCTTGCAGTAAGGGCATAATAATTTTGTCTTCGTCTTCTTCATTCTAAAAATATAAAGTAAAATAAAATTTAGATAGTATTGTGTATCTTTTATAACAGCAACTAAATCTGCATGAAATAAACCTTTTGGACATCAGAATCTTCTTTTTTTCGGAGATATGTATTTGGAACCAGAGGTGTATTAGTTTCAGAACTCATTACTATGCTTTTTATATTTTGTGATGCACTGCAACATTATCAGCAATACAATATTATTAAAAATGGAAAGTTATTATGATTAAATGTAAATGAACAAGAACAACAAAAAATATCAGTCAAACCTACACACAAAGATTAGATATATCTACATTTATTACGACATTTTTTCCAAGTCTCCAAGGCAACTTTGCCATATGTCTAGATGGTCGTTTTACTTGTTGCAATAAATCTTTATAAGAAGTCCTTTGGTAATCTTCTTTACTAATATTTCTAGATAGCATCTCAAGATCTTTATAAAAGAGCTCAACATCCCACTGTTTTCCTTGAGCAACAACATACAGCAGTATATCCAAATCACTATATGTAGCTACTTTAGCTCTGATATTGTGTTTTTCATCTTCATTAGTCAATGGTGGAACATCATGACATGTATATAATATAACTCTACGCGCAGACATTGTTATATTTACTGAAGAAAAATTTAGAGCTGCATGCCATAATACATCTTGAAGAGGATAACTCGTAGAGGAGCTCATACTTTCGTAATCCTTCCATTTAGAATCTCCTACATAAAAATAATTAAAATGAAAAAATATATATATATTGAATAGAAAATTGTGAATATGGTTTGTTAGCGAAGCATTGATAACTTTATTGTTAAGAGCTTTACTATTACTCACGTATTTTCTCAGCTTCTTTTAACTTATTTATATCGATGACAGAAAGTTTCTGTAGAGTTAAAATGTTTCTTATTTCTGGATTCATATCCCATTGTTCTGTACCAAAAAGTACTAAACCCATCCAATCTTTTCTGTTCCAAACTAATTTTTGTTTTAAAATATAAATATAGTCCTATATGAGGGAGGGGGCAGATAAACATGGTTTTAAACATAGACTCTTTCCAAGGGTATGCAAATAAGTTATTAATTGCATAAGTGAAATTATAAGATGACATGATACCTCTATACAAGATACAAAATATGGTATTCCTTCCTCATTTGTATTGAACATTTCAGGAGATGTATCAATTAAAAAAATTGTGCAATCTCGAACACCATATAATTCATCTATATTATCAGTTTCTTCTGAATCATTTTCAGAATCAAGTTCTTCTGCATTTTCTGATGTCATCTCTTTATTTCCTCGCTTTATTGAAAATTAATAAAAATAACAAAAATTGTGAACGATTTTTGATTACCACAAAACTACGTAACCTAACCACGTCTAATCACATAATTGACGTATTTACTGATAATATCCTTCGATAGCACGATAGCAGAATTTTAAAAGATTGTTTCAATTCGTAAATTGCTATTATGTTAATACGCAGTTTCGAAAAATTTTTATTATATTTATTCTAGATATTTTTAGATACTTCTAAATATTTAAAAATGGACTAATAAATATGACACTGCTTTACAATATCAAAACTATGCTTTAAAACATATGAAATTATTTTCTACACCACGAAAAAAAGCTGGCCTAAAACCTCAACGGCAGAAAAAGATGAATAAGTGCTTTTAAATGCACATTAATTGTACACTTTATCAATTAATTATTTAATTACTTAATAATAATTGAAAATATAAAAACATTATTCCTATTTCTAAGCAAAGCAATAAAGTTTTCTATTGTTTTTTGTTTTCAATCAATTGTTGATTTTTGTTTGTCCGTTTTTCTCCGGTCTTTCTAGCTCCAATATGATATATGTTTATTTTTTAATCTAGTAAGTCTTTTTCCTGTACCTGTTCCTAGACAATCGTTCTTAACGAGTAAACTCCTTAAATTAATAATTAAAACAAAATATCTATATTAGATTATTACCTGTTGTTTGCTTTTAAATGTATACAGAATTTAAATACACATTCACTTTGCGTAACTACTTGTTATTAAAAGTTACTAGGAAATAAGAAAGTTTCAAATATATTAAATTTCTAGTAACATGGCTAAGCCGATATCGGTAATTGCAGTGCTCTACCTTTATCTTACCGACCGAGTTCTGATGGTAGCTTACCATCAGATTTACCGACAATTAAAAAGCGTGAAAAAATAAAGCAAGAAATGATGGATTTCAAATAAGTAATTAATAAGCAATTATTTACTTCTTTCTGCGGTGAAAATTTTTCTACTGTCGGTAATTCTGATGGTAACTTACCATCAGATCTCGGTCGGTAAGTCGTATTACCGACGTCAGTAAAAAACCGTAAAAAATAATGCGCGTAATTAATGATTTTTAATGAGCAACTAGTAGGCAATTAAGAGCAATTATTTACTTCTTTCTGTGGCGAAACTTTTTTTTACTGTCGGTAATTATGTTGTATGAATGTGTAATTAAATTCTATATATATTTAAAAGCAAACAACAGTTAAAAATCTAATATAGATATCTTGTTTTAATTATTAATTAGAGGAGTTTACTCGTTAAGATCGATTGTCTTGAAACAGGTACAGGAAAAAGATTTACTAGATTAAAAAAAAATCCGATATCATATTGGAGCTAGAAAGACCGGACAAAAACGGACAAACAAAAAGTCAACAATTGATTGAAAACAAAATACAATAGAAAACTTCATTACATTGCTTAGAAATAGGAAAAATATTTTTATATTTCCAATTATTAATAATTAATTAAATAATTAATTGATAAAGTGTGCAATTAATGTGCAAGTAAAAGCAGTTATTCATTTTTTTCTGCTGTAAGGTTCCTTGCCAGCGTTCCTACGGTAAAAAGACTACACTATATTATTATATAAAAAAAATAGATTATTTTTTGTTTTTCAATTCTTGTCTTAACAATCAAAAGTATATTGAATACATTTATTGTCGTTTAATCGTAAGTATCACAAAACAACATAAGATTCAATCAAAATTAACGTAATAAACAATAATTAAAAAAGTAACAACCGTAAGGTGGCATCATTGTTCACATTAAATTCAAATATCTTTAAATATTCCTTATAAATTCTCAATATTTAAATTATTATCGTGATAATACGACTTTTTATAAACACATATATGTATCATATTTGATATTTTAAATGAGAAAGATTATTTCTCTAATCTCAATGAATAAATAAATAAAGATAATTATAAAGAATGAAAAAGTCCTTATATTTATTTTGTCCCCATTAGAGATTCTATTTAAGGGACTTCGTATTTCCAATAAATCGACGCTTCGGGATCGATATCGTTCATATGAAAGGCAATATTGTTCGACAGTCGATCACCTTATCCTAAACATTTATTCCTCGTAGGCAGCGAAGCATAAAGCTGTCGGGTTTAAGACGAAAGCTTGAACGTTGGCGTGCGCCATAATTTATGACTCCCTTCCAAGCCACGACTGTTATAATGTTCTCCTCTTTCCTTCGACTCCGCATTATACTTCACGTATTAGCGTGTGCTAACGTCGAGCGTGCTTTATCGAAACACCGTTTTTTATTTGCAAGCCTCGCATTTTTTACTTATCATATTTTGCTCCGATCGTGATCTTAATTGATATAGAGTAAAGGAGAGATAACAAAAAGAGGGAAAAGATTACCATATATATATATATATAATTTTTTTCATCTTTACGTATATACATAAATGGTAGTTAAACTTTTTAACTCCCCATTTAAGAGATTAAATATATATGTTGTATGTGTATTACGTATTATAAGTTCATGAATGTATAGAAAAAAATCTTTTATGAAATATGACCGCGTGGTAATCGCTTCTGTCTCGCCCCACTGTAAAAAGGCAACGGCCATAAAACGGCAGTAAAAACTAACAGGGAGAGCGACTTCAAGGTAAAGACGAATAGAAGAGGGAAAAGAAAAAGAAAAATTCCTGCGTTTTAGGGCTTAGTTTGCTTTGACACTGACTAATCAAAACAGTGCTTTTTTTGTTCTACTTCTTTTCTTTTCTTTTTTTTTTTTTCTTATTCCCTGTCTACTGAGCTCTCCTCCTGTTTCTCTTCCTCTTTCTTTCTATTCGTAAGGATATTTTGCGACTACAAAAAATAGTCAACGCTTATAAAGTACAGGTCGAAAGCACGTGCTCTCTTCTTATCACTTGGTCATAATTTAACAAGAAAAACAATCGTAGGATCGGCTTAACGTATCGTTAAACACGGTCATTGTGCTTATTTCAACAATACGCCGCCATATTGGAAACACTGACGTTCGTTTAAAGACCGCACTTTAAATCAACAACTCTCGATTCGCATAGTCGACACCGATGTTGAAAAATATTCCTTCGAGATATCGCTACAATAATTATTCGTCAATTATATACTTTTATATATTATCGTATACCTTTCACGTGATTTTTCATTATTAATTTTATTTATCAATCGATATATTCGATTTAAGTAATCGCGACTACGTTCCGCCATTTTGATTTTTCATATAATCCAATCATCGCGTTCGAGTTTTCTCGAAATTTCATCGTTTTAAATAATAAGTCGAATTTACGTAGAACAATTTTGAAAAAAAGTAATAACAAATGTAATATTAAATTATATATTGAATTACTTTTGAATATAATCTCACAGGAGAATCATATGAATGATATTTCTTTTGGATTTCTTGGAGCAAGTATTTAAGTATATTGCCGATCCTTTTATTCTGTTCGGATCGTTTTTCTTCGAGGTAAAGGGTTGTGCTCGTTGCATCGATTCTTTCCCCCACCAAAGGGTTTGAATCACGATACGATCTTCGACGAGTGCATTTTCGAACGAGGATGCGCGAGAAATGTTCGAGCGAGTACGCGTCGAGTTTAACGGAACTCCCCAGCCAATGAGAAAGCTCGAGTGGTTGATCGACTACGCCCAACCATGGCGACCACTTTTCTCTCCCACCGAAATGGTTTCGCGAACAAGAACTATCTCTCTCTCTCTCTCTCTCTCTCTCTCTCTCTCTCTTTCTCTCTCTCTCTCTCCATCTTTTTCTTTTTTCTCGATATTTTCTACTAAAATTTATCGAATTTTTCTTTGTACAATTTCACATTCCTTTTTTTTTTCTTTTTTATCTACAGTCTCGCTGTTTTTCTTTTTTCTTTTTTCTTTTTCTTTCTATAGTTTCATTGCGAGTGTCGTCGTCCATATAAAAATTCGTTCAATAAAATGATAAAAGATAGAAAGTTTAGATGAACTCTGTTTAAAAATAAATATGTTATTACAACATTGCAATAATAAAAAGTCAAAATTTGATTATAAATATTTTTAACGAGACAAATATATATTCACATAATTTTTTTTAAATATCTACTTTATTTCGTATTCAAATTCGAAAATCGAGAGAATGCATTCCTGTTTGGTAATAATCCCAATGTAAAATATGTACGATTTCTTAATCGTGTCGCCTCGATCTTTCTTGGTTTTTTTTTTCTCTTTGGTTTCCATTTTAAAAACTTCATTGACGTAATATATTTTTGCATAATCATGAATTTCGAGGACCGTTGTTACGCTTAGCTTTTTGACTTTAATTATAACTGTTTAAAATTCTGTCAACCGCGTTTAACATAACAGATTGTGCAATTGCGATGATTTTCTCCGAATTCATTGTGAAATGCATTTCGATTAAATTGAATTCATAAACGCGCGCGCGTTTTTCTTTTTTATGTCACGAAGTTAGTTCCTGTTCCCGTTTCAGTTATATTCACTTATGATATCCTCTATAACATAAATAAAAAAAATGATATAGTTTAATAAAATTTCAAAGACAAAAGTACAAAAAAAAAACAAAAAAGAGACGAAAGGAGAGAGAGAGAGAGAGAAAGATTTCTCGATAAAATTTAATTCCATCTATTTTTTTTTCTATACGACTTTTCACCGCCTCCCCCTGTCCCTGTGATTGACTTCAAAATTAATAAAAAAAACAAACGAACAAGATAAAAATTCGAGAAATATTTCTGTTAACAATCTTCCATTTATTCCACATTACACGCGTTTATTTAATATACCTTTTTCTTAAATCAACAGATTAATATAATACCTGACATCTTTTCTTATATTACTTTCTTTTTTTTGTTTCCTAAAAAGAAGAAAAATAGAAAAAAAAATAAATAAGAACATCCAACTTAACCAAGAGATAGATCAGATTGAATCTGATTTTTTTTCATCGATCCACCAGACTCTATCTATGGGGAAGGACAAAATCAAGTAAGGGGCGTGTTACCGTAGAACAGAATCAGAGAGAGAGTGTGAGAGAGATGGAAAACACATATATGTTTAAATATGTGTGCGTGCGTGGGCGCGCGCGTATCTGTTAGAGAGAGCGAGAGAGAGAGAGAGAGAGAAAGGGAAAGAGAAAGAAAAAAAGAATAAAAAAAAAATAGGAGGAGGGATCGAGATGTCCTCTCAACGAGAGGAACACAGAAACTCCGCCTACGCGTTCCTCTACCACGTAACCAAAGAGAAGAAGAGGGAGAAAGAGAGAGATAGAAAGAGAGGAGAAGAGAAAGAGAGAGAAAGAGAGAGAGAGAGAGAGAGAGAGAGTAAAAGGCAAAATTATTCTCTCGATCTCAGTTTGGCATCTCTCTCTCGACGCGAAAGCTCCTTTTGCTGCCGGCGCTTTTGACGTACCGTGTAGATGTGCCACGTGTGTATATATGTATGTGTTTGTGTGCATGTATACTCGTATACTTTCTCTCTCTCTCGCTGATTGAAAATTATGATTCGACAGAGGTAACTCTGCGAGGTGATCGAATCAGTCGCGCGATCGGTTCCCGAGGACTCGTTGTGTTCTAACCGAGTTCTCTCTTACGTGTTTACAAACAATCACGAAAGTTTATTTTTTGTTTTGTTATGTTTTGTTGATTGGTTGGTTAGTTGGTTGGTTGGTTAGTTAAACTGCATGATTCTCCTCGAGGGATTAATAATAAGATATTCATTGGTTTCCTTCGAGTATAGTTATTATTCACAGGTAATTTCTTTTTTTATCTTTATATATGATTTATATATGAGCCGTTTATTTTGAAAGTGGCATAAGTCACTTTTTCGAAAAAACCGAGTTAATGGCAACACTAATTACAACTGTAAAAAAAAAGAAATCTTTTCATTTTCAATAAAAAAAAACAAAAGTGACTTATGCCACTTTCAAAATAAACGGCTCATATGTATATATATATATATATTTTTATAATTTATTTATATACTTTTTCTATATATGATATATTTATTTGTTAATGTTAATACTCAAGAATATTGGCATTAATGTTCCGTCCATATCGAAAAAATTCTTTGTCGCTATTCGTCAGGAAAAATGTGTACAATTGGAAATGATTGAATGTTATTTTTGTTAAATGTACATTAAAAAGTATTGATTGAAAATGTTTGTAGATATATTACATTTCTCGTTGAAAGTTTATTATCATTTGTTGCGACGTTCCGTCGCTCTAATGCGAACGCACCCGAATAATTTATTTCTTTTTAATTTCTTTTTTTTAAGTTATCGCGTTTTTATTTCATTGATATTTGATCATTAGCATTTTTGCGAGTATATGATAGGGTACAAAATTCTTAGACGAAAAGTAATATTTAGAGTAATATGTTATTAATAATGCGTAAATATTTATTGCATTTTCTGCAATCGTATGTTTTTTAAAGTTAAAGTCTGTTTTTCCTTTACTTTTCCTCATTTCTACTTTCGTTAAAATCTTTTTTTTCTTGTCGAGGTATTCTAATTAAAAAATATCCGACGGCAAGCTAACGTCGCTAACATTCACAGCTCGATGATTATCGTAATATTATTTTCAATCATTTTAACATCATTTTATATGAGACAATCGTTTAAATTCCATTGTTCTTTATTAAAACATACGTCTTCGAATTTTTGGAATATCTTTTGTAAAAGATATTGCAATTAAACGATTATAAACAATTCGCGCGTAATTTATATATATGTAAATAATAATTATTTTGTTCTTTTTATTTTAACACAATAGATATATCGTTTATTAATTTCTCACGATTTTAAATTGATTTAAATTTCGCGAAATATTTCTTGACAATTGGAAAATAATTTGCGAATAAAATGTTGTACAATTTAAAAACAAAAAAACTACGATTTGTTTTTTAAATGGAAAAAAACTATTATGTTTACTACATTATAAAAGTAAACTCAATCGTTTTAGTGTCATAAAAAAAGAAAAAACAAACTAATCGAATTAGATTTTCTTATATGACTTATTAGGTAATTAAGAAGAGTATTATTATCGCATAAAAGATAATATTATAGAAAGAAAAACATATGAAAAAAAAGAAGAAGAAGAAGAAGAAGAAGATAAAAAAAAATAAAAAAAAAACAAGACAAACACATTACGCGATTTTATATATTTAAAATTATATATATATATATATTATATCTCTCGTAATAAGACTCGTGCCTTTTCGTTTACGAATAGTGTGGGAGATCGTGAAGAGTTTGTAAACTTTGTTCCATGATCTCCCAAGATTTGTATGGTCTTGACGGGATGTTTACTAAACAGCGAGATAAATATTTCTTCTTTAACTCCATTCAGATAAACGTCTTTTCATATGCACGCGCAAGAGACATAAAAAGAAAGCAACAGGAAGAGAAAGAGAAAGAGAGAAAGAAAAAAATTTGCAAAGAGCGTTGTCCTTTTTCTAATTAATCCGAGTTTATCGATATATAACCCCTGAAACTGAATCTAATGACAAAGCATGCTACGATTTATAAAATAATATACATATATATGTATATGCAATCAATCAAATTGAAGATTGATCATAGACTAACATTAAATATAGTCAATATGTTAATTAAAAATAAACTATCAAATTTTGAATATATTATATCAAAATATTATAAATATTTATATTTAAAAAACAAACAAATGCAATGATAACGTTGACTCGTTTTATTCGAAATCATTTATCTTCGTTTTCACAGTTCTGATGTATAAATACTTGACGCAGATCGTTTTAATCGATAAAAAAAAATTCTTAATAAGAAGGTATCATAGGGAATTTGGACATCAAAAAAAGAAGTATAAATTAATTTTGATAAGTTGATTAAGTTTGATAAGTTATCAAAATTAAGTTCTATTTCTTTTTTTGATGTTCAAATTCCCTATGATACCTTCTTATTAAGAATTTTATTTTTGGACGAGAGAAGCAACTGGTTGAATAAATAAAAATGTTTCTCTAATAAAAATCAATGTAAATTAATAATTGGGAAAAATAAAAATTGAAAAATTGAATAATATCCAAATGTAATTCACAATTATAATAAATTATTATATAAATATATATATTATATATATATAATATATATAAGAACAGTAAATCACAATTGTAATATAATTATTTTTTAAGATTGCATAAATCTACGATGATATCGATCAATTTCATTTAAAAGAAATGAACAAACAAGAAGAAAAAAAAAGAAGAAAAATTATAAGTTTTTCCTTCGGAAGAGATATCTACTCGTGTCAGTGTTCGTAAGACCGGCGGAAGTTTGGATGTTTCCCTAGGGAAGATGATGCTATTTCTTTTTCTCGACTATTCGTTCTATCGTTGTGTCCTATGTATTCAGGTCGCCTAAGTGTTCAGCTGTCGCATTCTCGTCATCTTCACGAATACGAAACGGTTCGTTCCTCGTGTTTCAACGACAGAACACGTTCTCTATACCTTCCCTCCCCCCTTTTTTTCTCCCACCCACTTTTTCTTTCTTTCTTTCTTTCTCCCTTTTTGTTTTGGAACCCCCATTAAATCCACGTTTCGTTGTCGACTCCGTTTAAACTCTTTGTCCTGTAACCTTAAAACATCGGATTCAATCTGTTCAACCTGTCGACGGGATTATATCGTTTATAAAACTTTACTAAAGTATAATTGTATGAGAATAATTATATATTATAAGGTATTACACAATTATAATATAATATAATAATAAGATGTAACAATTATATAATATAAGTTTTAATCGTATGAGTTTAAACAGTTGTTTCTTTCTTTTCAACGAAAATTAATATATATCACATTTTATAACAAATATTTTTCTTTTCAAAAGTTCTTTTCTTATTAGGCTTAACATACGAAAAAAGGGTTCAAAATTTCTGAGTTTTACCATATGAAAGGGTTGTTAAACCTAGTGAAAATAAAAAAAGTTTCAAACTTTTCAGTCCTTTTCGTGTTAGGCTCAATACTTTTCAATTTATAATATAGTTGCTTATTAAGCTCAATACTTTTCAACCCATTCATGTTTATTTTTCCATCTAACGTGAAATAAACTGAAGATATTACTGCTTGCACAGTGTATTCTTCTGATGGAACCCTAAAATTTTGTAGAATTTAATAAAAATATGAGTAACTTGTCAAATTGGTTCTCCATTCCTTAGAAAAATATTACGGAGCTCGTGTCAGTAGAAATAATGTAAAATAAAATCTATTGATCGTGTTAAACTTATTAAAAAGAAAAAGAAAAGCAAGTAACAAGCTTTTTAGGATGACCTAATGTATTTGCAAGGCTCGCAAAATCTGATACCAGTTATTTTATTTATTTTCTATATTCATTATGATTTTATTGATATCATCTAATAATTATTAATTGAAAATAATATATTAATATAT